GGCTCCCCCCACCGACGCCAGCCCCTCGCTTGGAACGACTGACGGTAACCGACCCCCGCTCATCGGCTGCCAAGGGACCTGCCCCCCCCACTGCCCTCTCAGAGCCAGGAACAGAACCCAGGAGTCCTGGCTCCCAGCCCCCATCCCTGCTCTAACCACTAGACTCCACTCCCCCTTAAATTGGTCTGTCTCACACACAAACACACACACACACACACACACACACACACACACTCCAGGACTGAGGGAAACTAGGAATCCAGGTCACCCGGAGATGGCCTGTGACACTGACTCTTGATCTAAAGCGCTCTGTGGGGGGATGAATGATTATCCCCATTTTATAGGTGGGCAAACTGAGGCCCAGTGAGATGCAGTGACTTGCCCACAGTCACACAGGAGATCGGTGGCAGAGCTGGGAATTGAATCCAGATCCCACTGGAGCATCTTACACTCTAAACAGACAAAGGGTGGGAGGGGAAACTGAGGCAGAGAGCAGGGAAATGACTGGCCGGGGTTGGGGGAAGGGTCATCCAGCAGGTTATTGGAGAACCCGGGTGTCTTGGCTCCCAGACTAGTGTCTAAGCCACAAGGCCAGCTGGCCCCACTGTGGGTCCTGCCCCACTTCCCCATGTCTGCAGGAGGGTTGACCGGCTGAAAGCCGGGAAGGGGCAGGGGCGGGATTCCTTACCGTTTCCTTGGGTTAAGCGGAACATCACGGGCAGATCCCCGCGCCCGCTGAACGCCTCGGCCTGGTCCACCAGGGCCTCCTTCACCGCCTGGTAGCCGCACAGCACCACCACCCGCCGGGAGCCCAGGTGGAGGGTGTAGACAGGCCCATAGCGCTCGCTTAGCTGCAAACACAGAGCGACCCAAGGGTCAGAATATGGAGCCCTGAGCCAAGCATAATCATACCACCTCGCTCCAGCCACTAGCCCCCACTGCCGTCCCAGAGCTGGAGAGAGAACCCAGGCGTCCTGGTTCCCAGCCCCCTGCTCTAACCACTAGTCCCCACTCCCCTCCCAGTGCCAGGGAGAGAACCCAGGAGTCCAGACTGCACGTGACCTAGTGGCTGTTAACACTCGAGCTGCTCACGGAGTTTCCAGCAAACCGGGTTTTACTGGGAAATGCCGACCTGTGAAACGGTTTGGACGAAATCCGCCCGGTTTCCTAGCAGACAGCGAGGGGGGCTGAGCTCACGGGCTCCCCAGCTCCAGGGTAGGACTCCCCCCAGACGGCCCGAGCTCGGCAACCTACGGAGCCCGCTGCCCCACTAGCCGAGCAGCGCAGGAAGCCACTGGCCCAAGAGCCTGGCGGCCCTGGGGTCCCCGGCCTGGCGCAGTCCACCTGGTGGAGGAGCTGCTGGCCCTGGCACATGGCTGGCCTCAGTTTCTCTGCTGCTGTTCAGTGGGGTCAGGCTGAAACCGACAAGAATCACGTCCATTTCATGAGCTGCCCATCCCAGATTTGGTGTCATTGTTTTAGAGACGCCAAGGCAAGAAGTGACCATCTAGTCGTCCCCCTGGCCAGAGCGAGTCCTGGCGCAGAGCTTTCAGCAAAACCAGCCCGTCTCGATTGAAAATGGGCAGCGAAAAACCCAACCAAAGCAAAACCCTGTTTCCAAAACAAACGTTTTTGGGAATTTCTCTTTGGAACAAAACCAAAATAGCAAAACTTCCCAGGAACCGGAAATTCCAAGTTTCGGCCAGTCCTAGTTAGCATCGGGGGGGGACTGGGCATCAGGACTCCTGGGTTCCATTCTAGGCTCTTCCACCAAGCTCCCTGCATGACCTGGGGCAGGTCACCGCTGCGCCCGTGCCTCAGTTTCCCCAGCTGTAAAAGTGCTTTGAGCTGCTCTGACCCCAGGGGGTGGCCGGTTGCTACCCTGGGATGTTTTATAAACTCGAGTGGTTCCAACATGGCACTGAGACGAGTCACTAGCCGGGCGGCCCCCACGTTCTCCTGTGTACCCAGCTATTAATGGTTAGGACTTTGCATAGATTCATTTGCCCCCTGTGTGTCCAGCCGGGGTTTAAGGCTGGTTCAACCTGCCCTCAAAGCCGGCCGTGTCCGCGTGGGCATGAACAGGGCATCAGCAGGGAGCTGCGCCCGATGCGGCCTCGCTGAATCTGTCGCTTTAGTGCGGCCTCTGCCCGGGGTAGCTGGATACTCGACATTCTTCATTAGAGCCGCCCTGCACTACACTAGCTGCAGGGAGGGGCTGGGCGCCAGGACGCCTGGGTTCTATCCCCGGCGGTGGGAGGGGAGTGGGTGAGTTTGAACAACAAGGACTGGGCGCCAGGACGCCTGGGCTCTTCTGCCTCTGTCACTGATTCCTTGTGTGAGCTGAGGGGAAGCTGCAGCACCCAAGACAAGGGGGCCCTGATCTGGACTGGGGTCTCCAGGGGCTACTGGCAACCACATACCAAGAGAGCCGGAGTGGGGGGGAATTGAATGCCCAGTACTAGTGCTGGTGTTTGCACGGGGGGGGGTGAGTGCCCAGTACTAGTGCTGGTGTTTGCACGGGGGGGGT